TGGGCTCTCTCCCTGGGCGATTCCATCCACCATCCCCACCTTTGGTTTCATAAATACCTCTAGGCTGGTCAGTCTCAAATCTAACTCCAGCCCAGCTCACTCTCCCACACTGTCGACCCATAGTCACCTGCCTATTGGACATCTTGAATCTGCTCTTCTTTCCATACCCTTATCTCAGTAAATAGTAACCCCTGATCCCCCAGCCACCCACACAAGAAACCTGTGTGTCCTCTTGGAGTTCTCCAAGTTTGACCAGTCACCAAGTCCTATATAGGATACTTCTTGAGTAACTCTCAAACCAAATCTACCCTTCCATCTCCCATCTTCAGTAGGTTGCAGTCATCTCATCTGGATCTCCACAACAGCTTCCTAAAGGATCTGGATCTTACCTCCAATGATGTGCCACCATTCCCTCCAACTAAACTTCTGAAGTGAAACTAGATCTTGTCATTCAAACCCTGTAAGGATTCCCCAGTGTCCTCTGCTTGAAGTTCAAATTCCTTAGCAAAGTCCATCTGGTCCGATACGCTATGAACCAAACCGTAACAGACACCTGCAGCCCCTTAACAGCATGATGCCTTTCCCGCTCCTTGGGCCTTTGCATATTTTATTCCCTCCACCCAGAACATCCTTCCTTCCCATCCCACTGACTTGTTCTTCAGGTCTCAGTCTAAAAACATCATCCTGGGAAATCTCTGACACCTTGCTCAGCTGGATTAGCTCTCTTTGATTTTATAACGTCTCATGCTTTCCCCTATCAGGCAAGTTTTACACTTAAAATCAGTCTTTTGTCTCTCTTAACCAACCTAAAAGTTGGTAATTGTGTCTTGTTTGACATCCTCAGCAAGTAGCAGATGCTAGACCTATAGTAAGTGTTCAATAAATGTGTGTTAATAATAAAAGACATTTGGAAAGGAACATCCCCTCTGCTACTGCTGGTAATAAATTGGAAAATAAGTCCTTTATGGAAACTTGACAGACTGGAGAAATTAAAGTATCTGGAGACATGGAGGCCAGCTCATGGTGGTACTACTACCGGGCCCATGTGCAGGACAGGAGCCCATGAGGAGGACAGGGAGGCACCAGCCTCCTTTACCTTGGCTCCTCACAGGGATGGGATCATGTGAAACACGGCTGCTTTGGCATACAGTTTCCATTTCCCACAGCTTCAACCTGTCAGTGTAGCATTATAGAGAGCTGTGGGCTGAGATCTGGGCTCTGCCCACTACTTTATCTCAATAACCTTAGGCATTACTCCACTATGGATAGTGCCAAAAGCTACTGTAGCTTCTACATCAGGGCAGACATACAGCATATTCATGCATTCATTCATTCATTCATTCAATACCTATAATGCAGCTACTACATGCCAGGTAGTATTCTAGGTACTGAGTATATAGCAGTGAATGAGCCAGACAAGATCTCAACATCCCAGCTGTAAACCAGGGGGATGAACCAGATGGTCTTCAAAGTCTCTTTCAGCTCCTAAAATTCTGAGACTCCCTCCCTGACCATATGCAAACAAACAAGGCAGGCTGGTGGCAAAGTATCATGCTCCTGCCTTCCTTCCCCCATTCTTCACCCATGGTGCCATCTCCATCCCAAAGTCAGCTGTGGCAAACAGGAAAAGATCTGGTATCGTTTGCACTCTGCCCGCAACCCAAGATTTGACTTTCCGAAGTATGTTATTTAAGCCTTTTCTCTCTTTTGTGGAAAGGATTGTCATGGTTGGAACTTCTGGCAATTACAAGACCTGGCAAGATATTTTAGGCACAATTAGGTGCTTTGGCAAAAGGACAGGGAGAAGTAGGATGGCCTCCTCCTTCAAGTGTGGTATCTCTTGGGTGTGCCTGAAAGGGTGCCACATCCTTGGCAGGTTCCTCCTCTTTCTTCTGGATGATAGACCTCTCTTGCTCCTATCTTTTTTCTTCTAGTTCTGACTTGGCCTTAAGGTCCAAAGTTTCTAACCCCTTCGTACCTGGTGTTGTGACAGGAAGCAAGGGATTGAAGCACTCCCAACCGTGTGGGGAAAAGGAAGCCATAGTCTGCAAATAAATGGACAGAGCAAAGAGAAGTCCTTCGGTGAGGAACTTGATTAATCGAGTTCCACACCATGGTCGTTAGTATCAGGTATGGGATGGCACTAATAACACATTTAAGCAGATCAGTGAAAAGTCAGGACTATCATGCTGATCCTGGGTAATGTGAAGTTAAAAAGTAAAATTTTTGTTCAGCGACGTAAGAGTAAAAAAACCAAGCTTAAGTTTACAATTTATATCTCATAACCATGAGATAAGACACTCATATGGAATTATGTATCAGACTGACTTGAACCACTTTATTCTTTTTTTTTAAAGATTTATTTTTATTTATTTTGAGAGAGTGAGAATGAGAGAGAGAGAGAGAGCACATGAGAGGAGGGAGGGCCAGAGGGAGAAGCAGACTCCCCGCTGAGCAGGGAGCCTGATGTGGGACTCGATCCCGGGACTCCAGGATCATGACCTGAGCTGAAGGCAGTCGCGCAACCAACTGAGCCACAGGCGCCCACTTTATTCTTTTTTTTAAGGCAGCACTTTTTTTTTTTTTAAAGATTTTATTTATTTGAGAGACAGAATGAGAGAGAGAGAGAGCACATGGCGGGGGAGGGTCAGAGGGAGAAGCAGACCCCCTGCTGAGCAGGGAGCCCGATGTGGGACTCGATCCCGGAACTCCAGGATCATGACCTGAGCCGAAGGCAGTCGCTTAACGACTGAGCCACCCAGGCGCCCCTTGAATCACTTTATTAACAGCAAATTCTGTCTTCAGATTTGCTAGTATCCGATGAGCTAGAAGCCACAGAGACAAAGATTTGAAAGGCTAGCTCCCTTGCTTATTAACTATAATCTTAGTTAATAATCATGGTACCTCACCTTCCGGTGCCTCTTTCCTCAACTGTAAAATAATACTCGCCTCATTTATCTCATAGGGTTGATGTGAGAATCAACACACAACATATGTGAAAATGCTTTGGGAACAGCAAAACGTTTTATTGAGGAGACACCCTTACCATCAGCTTTCTTAGGATGGCTGTGTGTCGTCCTGGTCATTAGCTGCCATCTGCCCTTGGCCTTCCTCCTTGCTCATGGGGGTGTCTCTCAAGCATCTACCTTTGCACCATACTGAAGCTTAAAAAGTTATGTAGACATGAACACATAGCCAATTCTCTCAGCTCCTAAAGGAAGAGGCTGTTTCTTTGCTTGAGACCCCTTATCACCAAGCACTGGGAGGAAGAAGGGACAGTAGTGACAAAGCTTATTTCCTCCTGGTAGTTAATTCATTTTATCATTAAAAAAAGGGTCTTAGGATTTTTCTTTGTTCAAAGCACCAGGTCAGGCTCAGTGGGATGCAGCATGGTGCATCTAAAATAATGTCAGCTTTGGAAGCTGACAGACTTTGAGTTCAAATCCAGGGTTGGCCATTTACTTAGCTATGCAGACTTGGCAAGTTAACGCTCACTCTGAGCTTTAAGTTCCTCTTCTGTATTGGGGGCCTTACATATATCTTGCAGCGATATTGAAAAGATTATGAATGCCTATGAGTGACTGGCACATAGTGAGTGCAGAGATGACAGATATGCAGCAGGTTCCTCCTCTTTCTTCTGGATGATAGACCTCTCTTGCTCCTATCTTTTTTCTTCTAGTTCTGACTTGGGCTTAAGGTCCAAAGTTTCTAA